TTATAACGGTTGAAAACTTCATTCTACGTGGCTTTGAGTATCATATTTTTTATTGCTGTATTAATGATTCTGTCAATCAATCGTATTACGATTGGTAATTAAGATCATTTTATTACATTAAGTTTTACATTAAAAGATGAACAATCAATTTAAATATGATTTTTTATAGCAGAAATAAAAGTAATTGACTTTTGTATAGAGCTTTTGTTCACCTGATTTCTATCATATGAATGCTCAGCCATGTAACTTGTCTAACACATCATAGTTGGGACAATTCCCTCGAGTTATCTCACATTCCAACCGCAAATCGTCATCACAGTCATGGTCATGTCTATTGACATGAAAAAACAGTTGGAAAATAATGAATTTGGCTCTAAATTATTTTTGGAAACATTGACTTTTTTTCTGCAGTTGTTTTCTTTTAATTAAAAACAAATAACTGAGCAGAATAACTTTGAAATCATATTGACGTTATTATATTTCAAATGACACTAGAAAAATGTTGTTGTCATTTTTTGTTTGGAAAATTTGATGCAGCATAAATTGATCACACATTCACTTTCTAACAAAGTCATATCCTGGATAAATAGCAGGAACTTATTTGTTATACTCTAAACATTGTTACATCAAAACATATTCCATCAATGTTGGACTAAAATATCCATTTTTACTTGGATTATTATTGTTTATCATCTCTAGCTCTTCTTATCAGTAAAAATATCTTCTAGAAAAGGCTTTGTTTTTGATGAAAACTTTTTATAACAAGTAATCATTATTAAATACTACAGCAATAAAAAGTCTTTAGAAGCTTAAATGAAAAAGGATTAATTAATGACCAATACTAAATCCAATTGAAAAGCTAAAAAGACTTTGAAAAATCATTTAACTTATATTTCACATTTACCATGAAATATTTCATGTCCATTTCTCACTTCTCAAAAATAAAGAGCCAATACTTATCATTCTGATAATAGCAACCTTGAAACACAGAGATATGTTAGAATTTATAATTTGAGAAATAGATTATATAGCTGAAAATTCCAATGAAAAAAAAAGAGAAATTTCCTCACTGATGACTTTGAAGAAAAGAAAAATGTATTATCAAATGGATTTCATATCATTGATAAGCCTATTTCCTTCAATGTGTAGTTTTCAGGTATCTACTTACATACTTATGAATGAAGATTGATGATAATTCAGTGAGTTGGAATAGATGAGTGGATGGACAGTAGATAGCCTCTCGAATACACCCTGAAGACACTTTATCCGTAGAAATTATGCGAATTACGTGCTGGATACGAAATAAAGTGGAAGCTTTATAAGAGCCTGTGCCCACGCACACTTCAGCTGAGAGTGTGTCTGCAAATGCGATGGAATTTAACGCCTTCGTTTTAAACTCATTTTGCAACTTATACTCAACGTTCCTTTACCCGTAATAAATTTTAATATTCCTCATTTCACTCTTATCCAATATTCTATCCAAATTTTCAATCATAAAATATAATTGCAAGTGATTCTAGGCAATCTTTATTGTTGTCATAACTATCACCGAATTTGTAGTAATATTGAGAGTTTTGTGATAAAATGAACACTTTATGGCACAAATTGTATTAAAATTATCTTAACCGCACTTCACTTATGGTAGTTTTCTCGTTAAAGAAGAAATAAAAGAGAAGTAATAAATTATAATTTTTAATTTAAATTCTTTCATAGAATAAATGAAGTTAGTTTATATTAATAATAAATTATATTCTACTGTAATTGCTGGTAATGAATAAATTTATTGATAATTAAGAGATGAAAGTCTATAGGAGATAAATTATACTTGTTTATAAGAATTTTCAAGATTTCAGAATGAATATTCAGTAAGCAAAAAAGCAAGAAATAAGATTGATAAACATTAAAATTGTGATAAAATTTTTAATTAAAACAAACATTTGTTTTTTTTTTTGGTCAGCTATGAAATGACTTACTTCAACAATGAGACTAACATTTATGTAATCAGAAAATATTATAAATATTGATAGCATTTAATTAGATTTCAATTTTTAATTCAATTTTAGAGGTCAATAATCTATTCATTAAATTGAATTAAATATTAACAAGTTTATATCAACAACTTCCGGATATTTGTTGATAATAATTATAGATATAGCTAGTATTAGATGTTAATTATTACTCTATCAAAGAATGTGTTAATTTCAAAAAAAATAATTGGGTCAATATGAGTCAAGTTTAATCCAATCACATCAGAATTAATAAATTTAGAATAATGTTGGTTGTAAATCATTATTTTAATTCTCTTGAAACTTATCTTCTTGCACATATTTATTTATGATACGTACAAATCTATTATCTTAGAATTGATGTCAAGAACCTCCAACACCCTAGAACAAAAAACTCTATTGAAATGACAAATTTTATTTTTTAAACCAATTAAAAATTTCTCATCAAATAAGGAAGTTGTCTCTTATAAAACAATAAAATTCTTTAAGCTATTGCTGCAAGTAAAACTCTCATTACTTCCGTGAGTGAAGATGTCTAATCTCTAAATCAAACATCATTACTTGTTGATATATAAAATGAAAAAACCTAGAAAGTTTGAAAACAATGAAAAAAGTTTGAAGATAATTTTTATTCAAATGATCAATAATCATATTCTAAAGATCAAGTTAATATCAACGATATCATATTTTTCCCAACAATTGAATTTCTTTATTCACATTTTCATTATTGAATTATTGATATAGTTCCTTGATCGAATTACACTTGAACAAGAGCACTTTATAAACTTCAAGAACTCAGTTATATACAGAATCGACTATTGAAAGGAAAATTGATGATGAATTTATAAAACTAAACACTGTCGTGATTGTACTTTCATTTCATTGTACCTTTAACATTTAAACTCCACTGATTTTCACCGTTTATATCAGTCCCTATTAAATAATCTAGATGTAATACATCAAAAGTATTCATTTAACTCCAGCTGTGAATTTCAATTCATTTGAATGTAATTAAAAATTTCCTTTGCACGTGGGCTGTGATGAAGAAAATTAACTTGACATTGCAATAGAAACGTCGACATTAACAACAAAGACTTAGTGCTTGATAAAAAAGCAGAGGGCAAGCGCATTTATAAAGTTAATTTTGTTAATTACAAAAGTAATTCATGCGAACGTAGACCGCTAGTGTACGGTACACCTACACTGAGATTGAGATAGCTGTCTGCAATGATTACTTTTTAGCATTTCATGAGAAACATTACTCTGTGGTTCAGTTTTACACTCTTTTTTTTACATAAATTCAAGCCTTTAATACTTCTGAACAGATCCTCATTTATGTTAACGATAATCTGCAAATAATCCGTGGGCTTAAACTATAGAGTGAGAATGATAATAACAATAACTATAACAATAATAGTAAAATATGTAGACATGAAACCAATCGATCTATGTTATTAACACGAAAATTATTTATTCACATATGTGTTGTTGTATGGATGGTTGTAAGAGGAAATTAATTTGATAAATGTCATAGATATATCAAGGGAAAAATTGAGTCTATGGTCAATTAATTGTTTTCACTCGTTACGTTGGTCTATAATATATGTTTATGCAGAAATCATCTATTATTTCTTGGTTATATTTGAATATCTTTAAGATTTATTATCACTTTCTCATAAACAAGGTGAGAAAGTGGTGAAGAAGATTCCTTTTCATTATTGATATGAATTTAAATGAAAGGTATATGAATAGAATTTAAAAAACAAATTTCTTTAATTGAACATCAATCAATAATAAATGAATTATTCATTCATTTATTCCCAGTAAACACTTCTTATTTCAAGTCAATATTTGAGTGAAATAAATATTTCTCAATATAATTCATCAGTTTTCAGAAGAGATGAAAATTATCTGAGCAAATAAAGTGGGTTATTTCGAACAACAATAGAAGTTAATTATTGTCTTCTTGGTTTTTATTATCATTCTAGCACCAATATTTTTCCTAGTAGTCATTAAATATGATACTTACATGTAGTACTTTGTTCTATTATCTTAACATTAATGTTGCAGTATCAGATTCATTCAATTAAAATTGATTAACATATTTTACTGTACTAGTAGAAGAGTTTAATGCTTTAAAATAAAATTTATTAATAGTTGATAAATTTTATTAAAATATGATAATTCAATTCATATAAAAAGTTATGAATATTCAAGAAAACTTATGCTACCATATTATCAATGTAGAAATGTACCATCAGAAAACCTGGGTTGATTCAATGAATGAAAAAACAGAATTAGTAATTAATTTTGACAAAGTGAACTAATAATAAGCTTTATTAAGATGATAAAAAACGTGCAAAATGATATTATCTGTCAACATCAATAGATATTCATTCAACAATGATTTTTGCTAGTTATTGATCAAAGAGTGTTTATGTTAGCTATGATAAATTAAACCCTTTTATCAACATACATCACCTAATCGAATATTTCAAATCAACTAGAGCCTCATAAAAAATTCTAGACTCATAAGAAGTGAACTTACTTGATAATTTCTGCAACGTATTGTCTCGTTAGTGAATTAAATTTTTTTTAGATAATGAAAATATAATGTATATGCATAAATATATTCATAAAATATGATACTCGGTTTCAGGGCTATTAAGCCCGCAACGAGAACGAGAGTTGGTTTGAGGTCGGTTACACTGTACGAGTTGTGGCAAGTTGGTCATTATCCAACAGATACATAGGTCTACTGGTTCATTCGGTAGCAACCGCTGCGATCTCGAATGAGAGAAATGTCTAAGCAATTAGCGCAGAACTGGTTTGGTTGATGTGTCATGCATTTCCAGTTGAAATTTTCATCATCACTGATAAATTGTCTCAATTCCTCAGCTGCTTAGCTTTTATCTTAGCCTACGCCTTATACATAAATACCAAACTCGTTTTATTCAACTCGCGTTCATTTTACGTGATGTCTTTATTTTACAGATTCCCAAGATGTCGACCTGGACGCAATTCTGGGCGAGTTGTGTGCTTTGGAAAGACGATGCGATGGAGACATTGCTTCGACACCGGCGCCAGACACTCAACGACAGGGAAGGCCAAATAGCACGCGAATTAATGCAGGCGATAACACAGATATTGGAAAAACTGATGGCGGTATGTATAGCTTGTGTATTTATATTTCTGATTATTCAACCGTTTTCATTATCACGCATCACTTCATTTCCCTCATTATTGCTTTAGCTAATATTATATCTCATTATATCATTTGATTATTTAACATTTTCTTTATTGTTGATTCAGGTATGCGTACTGATAGTCCCGATAATGATAGTGCATTTTCGGACACAGTGTCTATGTTATCTAGTGAAAGTTCAGCAAGCAGCAGTGGTTCTGGACACAAACCTCAGACCGCCATGCACACGGCTCCACAACAATCACATCAAATGATGGGTAAATTTCCATTTCTCTCTACATCAATGCTTTTAGATAATAGATAGAAGATTTTTTGATACTTGCTTACTTTGAGTACACAAAAAATTAATTTATCTTATGAAAGATATGTTTTAAAAATATTGAATTGTTTAAAAAAACAAGTAGTTTTTTTAAATAAAAATAAATTTTTAACTTAATTATTTGTTTTATAACAGATGCTGCAAGCAGAGCAAAAGCAGAGAAAATTCGTTTAGCTCTAGAAAAGATGCGTGAAGCAAGTGTTCAAAAATTGTTTATAAAAGCTTTTACATTAGATGGAAGTGGAAAGAGTCTTCTTGTTGATGAAGGAATGAGTGTAGCGCATGTTTGTCGATTACTTGCTGACAAAAATCACGTTGCGATGGATCCTAAGTGGGCTGTTGTTGAACATCTGCCTGAACTTTTTATGGGTAAATATAATTAGCGTTTTATCTAATTTACTTATTTAGATACATTCATTAAGAATTGTAACATAAAAACTTTCATTTTTTCTTGTTTTCTGTAGAAAGGGTATATGAAGACCACGAACTTTTGGTAGAAAATTTGCTACTCTGGACAAGAGACTCGAAAAATAAATTGTTATTTGTTGAGAGACCTGAGAAAACTCAACTTTTCCTTTCTCCCGAAAGATATCTACTTGGCCAATCAGACAGGAATACTGGAGAATACGATGACCACTCAAGAAATATTCTGCTGGAAGAATTCTTTTCTAGTAGTAACGTTGGAGTACCAGAGGTAATTGCGAAGGTGTAATATAAAAGATTTTTTTGCTTAAATATTTGGGCTAGTAGCCAAGAAAGATTTTAAGCTGATGAGTTGGCAAAATGACGTGATATTTAAAATGACATTTCATTACATTTGGTCTTTTTTTTACTGCAGGTTGAAGGTCCACTTTACTTGAAATCGGATGGCAAAAAGGGATGGAAAAAATACCACTTCATTTTACGAGCTTCCGGCCTTTACTACTGGCCAAAAGAAAAAGCAAGAACTGCAAGAGACTTGGTGTGTTTGGCGACTTTTGACGTGAATCAAGTATATTACGGCGTCGGATGGAAGAAAAAATATAAGGCACCAACAGATTTTTGTTTTGCTGTGAAACATCCTCGACTTCAACAGCCTAAATCCACTAAGTACATTAAATTTTTATGCGCTGAAGATAATGCAGTAATGGAGAGATGGATGGTAGGAATTAGAGTAGCCAAATATGGCAGACAGTTGATGGAGAATTACAGAACACTTGTAGATGAATTGGCGCAAGAAGATTTGGATATTTTGGCACACGCTCGATCCTGCTCCGTCAGTTCAATTGCCGTACCACCAAACCAGACGCAATATAACTCAAATGACAACAGCAGACAGTTTACGGAAATGAATAGGCACAATGGTACAGAATCTGGACGTCAATATGATAGCCAGAGGCAGAATTATAATTCAGAGCAACGTCAGAGTTACACAAATGATGGGAGATTGAGTCGTGCTAGCAGTTCTAGTTCTAGTGGATGTTTGTCAGACGGTGCACCTAGTAGTTGTGAGGTTGCTTTTGAATGTGGAGAATTTCCTACTGGTACTATCAAGCGAAAGCCATCTATGAATCCTAAATTACCATTAACATCAATCACGAGACAATTGAAAGAGGTTGGCGAAACTGTACGTGATGAACCTGATTCTTGTCCAAGTCCCACAAGTTCGGGGTCAGGTACATTGACTCGAAGACACAGTCGCAGAAGAAGTGGTACTGATTCAGATGGTTCTGGAACTTTAAAAAGACATCACAGATCAGGAAATGCCACACCTGTGAGCCCAGTTCCACCCGGAACTCCAGTTAGAGAACGAGTTAGCCCGATGAGTTTCACAAGAACTGATAGTCAAGAATGTAAAACACCAACTAGTCCAATACCTTCATCGATGATGGACTCCATCACCTCATTACCACCACCACCATCTCCTCCAAGAGTTGCTGATGAAATTGAGTCTGACGGAGAACCACTGCCTCCACCACCTCCGGAGATGTTTAGATCAAATTTGTCTTTAGACTCGCTACCACCGCCACCAGCTCCTGGCGAGTTGCCCATGTGTGATACTACAGATTTCTCGGGATCTTCTTTAAGCCTAGTCTCTTTGCCACCACCTCCCAGTCCTCTCGTAGGAGAAACTGGAACAATTCGTCGTGCACGGCCTAATAAACAATCAACTCCAACTAATTCCATATCACCAGAATGTACGCCAACGCATACACCAACACGCACTAATTCTAATCAAATTTATGCCAGCGTGAATTTGACGCCAAATCAAAATTGTAATTCTACTCCACAGAATAATAGTTATGCAAATAATGTATCTAATTTGTCTCCGCATAATTCATATCCTGGGTCGAATGCTAGTACTCCAACTTTCACCCCAAACTCCCCAAACTTTGCATCACCACCACCTTTTGTACCACCTCCAGCTTATGGAGCTCAACAACTTAGTCTTCAGAGGCAGACTGCAAAGCCTGAACAAATTTATGGGACTTATCCAGCTGCACAACAGTGTGGACAAGCTATTAGGCCAAATCCCAATATGGATACAATAAGACGAAGTGCTTTGAAGCAAAATTCAGGACATTACGCTACTCCTCCGTACCTTGCAGAGCTGAAAGCTGCGGCAAGTCCTCAGCCACAAAGAAGAGTAACTATTCAAGAGCCACCGACATCACCGAAAAGTAAAATAGGAAGTGGAAAAAAAATAACGTTCAATTTACCTCCTCAGCAAGAACCCGGAAGTCCGGCTTTACCTCAAAGAAAACCAATGCCACCAAGAAGATCGGACAGTACTCGATTGACTTCACCTAAAAAATTAGCAGCATCAGACCAAGCACCTCCCGGGGACTTCTTGAAAGATCTCCAACGAGTAATGAGGAAAAAATGGCAAGTTGCTCAGAAATGTAAACTTGATTCTACTACTACTCCTCATGAAGTATTAGGATTCAGAGATCCTCCACCGGCAATAGCGGATTATCGAGAAACAAATGTCTCTAATTGGGTTCAAGAACATTATGGTACTGATAATCTGTATGAAAATGTATACACGACTGATCCTAATGCTCCAGTTGAGTATGCTTCAAGTCCAGCTCGACAACCAATAGTAAGATTTGCTGATGAAAATAGAACTATGAATCTTGCTAATGTAATCGCAAGTAAAAAACGACCTCCTCCACCACCACCGAAAAGAGCAGAGACCACTCATCTTACGACGAGGGCAATGCACTGACAATAGCAGATAATTCAGCCTCATGCTGAGAGACGATGGTATTCGTGTTTTTGTGGATGGTGGAAGCATTGATTGAGCAAAAAAATTATTGCTTTATTATAAATAAAATAAGGAACTTGCTTCTTCAACAGTTCTATTACCTTGCAAAAAGCTAAAGTGCAGACAAAGGACAACATTATTTATAAATTAATAAGTAGAAATTAATCTTAATCGAGTTAATCATTTTTGAAAATGGGTTAAAAAAATATAACTTGGGTATTAATAATCACTTAGGATTTGAATGATTAAATCAAATGAATGGAATTTAGATAAAATCGGGCTAAATGATTGTTACTTTTCATCATTAAAGCGTAAGATAAAAATATTTAAGATTACTTTTTTGTCTATGAATGAGAGATTATAAGTAAACCGTGAACTTGACGATTCTCTGAAACTTAAACAACAGATATATCATCGCAGTGTAGAAATAAATTGTAGAAAATCTTAATAGAAAAAAATTTCTTACATATATTATTAGTTTGTAGAATTCACTTTGCTGTACACATTGAGTAAAGAATGTGATATAAACTGTAAGCCTGCTTAGTAGAACACTGCGATTGATAAATCCATTGATTAACTTTCGCATAAACGTGCATTTATATATCGACGTAACTTATGAATTTAAATAAAAAAAAAGAAAAAAAAATAATAATACATGTATGTATTTATGCGAATGATTAATTAAGAAATAAAATAATTGAAAAAATCAGTTTCGAATGAGAATAAAAGAATGAAAATATACAAAATATATAAATGATTATAATTTACAAATAAATACTGGGCCTGCTACTTTTGCATATTTTTAATGCGTAAAAAAATTTTTTGTAATCAAGGTGCTTTATATACGACATTTTCTCAGTGAAGTTTAATCTTAATGATTGGATAATCATTTAATTAATATAATTAACGTAATTAATAATACATAGGTATTATAAATGCTAAATAATAATGAATAACTAATGAAACAAATAAATGATATAATCTATTAACGTGAGCGCGATAATTAATGATGTAAAAACATATATAAATGGACCTCATTATGTGATTAAATACTTTTTTCAGTCATTTGTTCATTTATATTACTTTCGATAATGCATATAAGAACGTTTCGCGTTCACGAAAATTGTTTAATTTAAATTTGCACCACATTTTCATAACTGAGATCTCGTCAATGCCATTTTTTGATAATGATATACACAACAAAAATAAACGCATAGAAGCGTTTAAGCCATTAAGATTGATAATATGTTTCTGAATTCCCTATTATTCTAAATTAAGGGACTTTTTATATTTATAGTTATATCAATTATACACCAATTTTTTATTATGAAAACACTATTAAACTGCGTCATGGCATTTTTGTACATGAAAATTGAGTTGTTGGGATAAAAATAAAATTAAAATAAGTAACAAAAAAAAGAAGAAAAAAAAAAAGTTACCCGCAGTTTGTTGCGTGTAAAAATTATAAATGATGAAAAAGCTATGCAAAGTTAAAATAAGAACTGAAGAAGTTTTGAGAATTATTTTGTTTTTGTGAGAGAAGCCGCAAGTTAAAATTCCACATGAAATCATATCCTCAAAAAAAACTAATACTTAATATTAAATTATGATTAATATTAAAAGATAACAATAATTATTATTTGTTACATATTATGGTAATCAAAGAACCAATTATAACTTTTGGAGCCTTATTACAAGCTGATATCTCCCGATTTTACAATCGATACGAATTTTGATAATAATTATTATTATTAAAATAATAAGATAAAAAAAAAAGTTTCTGTATCTAAATAATAAAATAATAATAAAACCTATAAATGTATCAGGTTTTATTAAGTAGATAGCTTCTCAATTAGATCACACTGCCGCCGCTAATTCCTATTATTAGCAAAGTTGGCCACGGTTGGATGCTACGGGTTAATTTTAGTTGATTTTCATTTGGTATACATATATGGGTATAGTTAATTCCTCATTGTATTTATGAGCTTGAATACAAGTGCTAATTGATGTATTATTGATTGGTTAACTCGAGAAAAGTAATTGGATATTCTGCTGATGACAAGTAAATTATATTTGAAAAAAATACCTTGATTAATTATAAAAATATTGATTATTTAAATTTCATATCCGTTTGGTGATTATAAATTGTAATAAAAACCCATAGGTATCATCGTTCTGAATAAGAATGAAAATTAGTGCAATTGGCAGACATGATATACTAAAATAAAAATTAGAAATTGATAATAAACTTTACATATTTTTATGATTATAATGTGCGTTTAAAAGTTCAATCTTTTAAGTTGTATGTATGTTTATGTAAATAATGTAATGAGTGATACTACGAAAGATGATTATTGAAACAATCCAATGGATTATTATGATTAATATAACAATATTTATGCGTAAAAGAAAAATTAAATGATTCATTCTGATAGAACAAATGGAACAAAAAAGTATCATTTAATTTGACATAATTACAAAGGATGGATCAAACCAACCGTGCATCTCATGAAGTGAGTGGATTCTCCAGAATGTAGATGTTTCCTTGCGCTTTCAATTACCCTCATTGCGAATAGTGACTTCAGTCACACGTATGATTTTTGATCAATAAGCTGATAGATGTTAGATTCTAATAAGTTTATTTAATCAATCAAATTAAGTTCGATTATAAAATTGTGACTATATTATTTTTTGCAAGTCAAGATTTGTTGTTTGGGTATTTTGGAAAAATATGCGCAGCAGTTAACATAGATATTATATTCATGTTTTTATGTAAATAAATTTTTCGTATATTTCAAATGTGTGTATATCTTTTCTACCTTAATTCTATCACTTATCATATTATTATTCTTAAGATATTTCAATAAATTATCTGAGTTTAAAACTCGACACTAGCCTGTTTATGGCATATTAAATTGCATGATATAGAAATTATCGTATGAACAGAGATATGAAATATTTAGTAATTAAATTGTTAAAAAGAATAAATATCAATAAGCTTTAATTGATAAATAAGCATATAAAGATTATTGCAAATTGAATAATGCTGCTAAGCAAGCTGTTGAATATTTAAACTCTCATTTTCAAATTACTGATATCAAAAAAATTCGTAATTTAAAATCTTTCTTTTTTTACAATTCATTGTGATTCCTGAAAAAGTTCAAGTACTTCAATTTTATTTTAATATTCACCGAATTATGGAATAATAAGATGTAAAAAATAAACATTATGAATGATGACTCATTAAAAAAAAGTTCACGATAGGGTTGATGAAAGAAATTAATGCATTCATAGTAGCGATTGATCCAGTTATGGAATCATCGATTACTCGAGTGATTGACCGTTGAAGAATTACATTAGGCATTCTAATCTTGACCTCTGTTGACATATGATCTATTGTGAATTTTCATATGATGTTGCATTGTTATCAACAAAATCTAGTATCATTTGTATTAAGAAACTTTTAATTGGTGTTGTTAAACATCTATTGATAAATATTACTTCCACAAAAGTGATAAAATTAAAGTTTTATCTATTTGAATATCTAATAAATTGTGAAAAAAAAATTTCTGATAAATGAGCTTTCTTAAACTTAATAAATATCATTACACTGATATTAAATATTACAATTGCTCTGTTTTATAAATAAAAACATTAATTACCTAAAACAGCTTGAATATTCAGACTCTTACGAGGACAGAATTTAAAGTGCTTCACAAAACTAATCTCCAGCTGATTAAGGATTGAGAATAATAATGATAAGAGAGAAATATGATTGAATTTTTTGTGAAGAACATTGATACGATCAAAACTAATTGAACTGTAGTATTACATAAATATCACATGTGATGTGTGTAGATGTGAGCCTCAACAATATCTATCAAATGTGGACAATCTCGTACGATTATTTACTACAGTAAAGTCTCCGGCTGCAGCATTGAAAGACTTCACAGTTGAATGTATTGGGATCATAACACATATCTTATATTTCATTCGCACGTTTCAACTGGAAAAGACCAGTTAACAGTTGCCTGTTGAACTGTGTAGATAGTACTGGAATAGGATATCATGTCTAAAATATTACTTCTAACAGTAGTTGTTTTGTATGTTGCGTACTACTTTGGGTATGTGCATTTAAAGTTGCTTAGAATCTGTGACGACTTTGATTATTTTTTCATGTAATATGAAGAGTTGGTAATTAATATGTTAATTGATTGTAGAAATGTTTATCTCACTGAGCCGAACTTAGAGATTCCTAAATTACCTGAAACCAATTGGGGACCAGCAAATCGACAAACAGATGATTCGATTAGACCATTTAAAATAAATGTTTCAGAAGATGTGAGTTGAAATTTAATACGTCATTGATTTAGAGTATTTTATTATCTATCAATCGTAATTTGTTATATAATATGCAAAGTAAGAACGTGATGAACATAGCAAAAAACTTTAATTGATATTGGTATAGAGAATGACGAGTCATTTTTTTCAAGGTGATCCATGATTTGAAACAACGATTGTCAAGGACACGGTATTCAGTGCCACCTCTTGAAAATACAGGATGGACTTATGGAGTGTCTAGTAAATATTTGAAAGAGATTGTCAATTACTGGAAGGATCATTACAATTGGTATGAGAGACAAGAACTGCTTAATAAGTATCCTCAGTTTATTACGACCATCCAAGGTAAAATGATCACGCATTTGTTTCAAATTTGTCATAGTCATCAACAATACTATGATTGCTGAATGAATTTATTTATAGGAATTGATATCCACTTTTATCATGTAAAGCCAAGTAAACTGCAAAATGAAGATGGGAGACAATTGAAGGTATTTCCACTATTGTTGCTCCATGGATGGCCAGGATCTGTAGTTGAATTCCAGAAAATTATTCCTCTGTTGACAACTCCACGACCTGGCAAAGACTTTGTTTTTGAAGTCATTGCCCCATCTCTACCAGGATTTGGCTTCTCTGAAGGAGCTGTGCGTCCTGGTCTAGGAACTGTTCAGGTTTGCCCACTTGATTTTTTTGATCATCAATCTACTACAGCAATAAATTTTAATATAAACTCTTATAATATAAATATTTCTGGATTAATTCAGTTTTATCAATTGAATAATTTTAAAAACTATGTAGTGATAGTAGTTTTTCTACTTACCAGATGGCTGTAATTTTTAAAAACTTGATGCAACGATTGGGATTCGATAAATATTATGCTCAAGGTGGCGACTGGGGAAGTTTAATAACACATGATTTAGCAACTTTATTCCCTGATAAGTTTGTACTTCTATATGACCCTTTTAACTTTTTCTAAATTTTTCTGCATTTCATCAATTAATTTTATTTTTCTAGAATTTTTGGCGCTCACGCCAATATGTGTCCTATAAGATTCTCTAAAATTCCCTGGAAAATATTTCTAGGAGCCTATTTCCCTTCATTATATGTTGAACCAGAGCACGCATCCAAAGTGTACCCTTTGAAATATCATTGGGGAAGATTGTTGGAAGAATCTGGCTACTTCCATATTCAAGCTACAAAGCCCGATACTATAGGTACGATGTCAATATATCTATTCACTCATGTCTTATTAAATATAAATAATCATTAGTTTTAATTGATGGCTTTCATACTGTTTTTTTGTTCCTTATTTTATAATAAGTAACAAAAAGCTGAATGAATTGGCCAGATACAAAAAATATCATACTAGCAACCTTGATCAGAACCTTCGTTTGACAGAGTGATTATTATTGTTGAAACATTATTTTTATATTCATTCTACAATCTTCTTTGTTGATTCCTAGAAGTTCTGGCATTAATGTTTAAATCAATGCTAATACCAACGCTATTAATATTTTTTTTACAAAAAAAATCATTACATTTTTCTGTAACATGATTCTAGGAGCTGCTTTGAGCGATTCTCCAGCAGCTCTTGCAGCCTATATACTGGAAAAATTCAGCACATGGACTAATCCTGAATTTCGATTTGTAAATGATGGTGGACTTTTAGTTAAATTTACTATGGATGAGTTGTTGGACAATGTCATGCTTTACTGGGTTACTAATTCTATAACAACAAGTGTAAGAATTTATGCGGAGAGTTTCAGCTCCGAAAACTTTGGATTATTGAACCCGTAAGTCGATATTTATAATTTTATCTAAAGATAATTTTATCAAAATAACCGGTATTAAGCCATCACTCTCAATGAGTGAATAACTAAGTCTAAATGATAAAAAATACTTGAAAAGAAAAATTATTTTTCAGCTACCCAGTCACCACTCTTTTCGGTTTTGCTAATTTTCCCAATGAATTGTCGTACACGCCGGAATCTGTCGTGCGATCTCACTTCAAGAACTTGATTCATTTTAGTCATTTACCTAGAGGAGGACATTTTGCAGCCTTTGAAGAACCTCAACTTCTCTCCGATGATATATACACTTTTGTTGACAAAATTCAAAATATGGATATGTCAACTAATCCTAAATAATCATCAACAATTACTGCCAAGTTATTTTTAGCTTTCCAGTGGGAAGTTATTATAAATTTTTCCATTATCCACGTAATAGATGTATTTATCTATTATCAAAAAATATAGATTTAGATTATTTCTATCATAAATTCATAAAATTTTTATAAACTGTATATACATTATAAATAGTGTACACAAAAATACCTTGAAATGATTGATTTATGCTCAGGTGATTATGAAGTGTTCCAATAATTATAATTTATTATAAAGTTTTTATACTTCACGTTAATAAAAGTGTTAAAAAAAAGGGAACAGTGCTGATAAACTTTAGTATAGCATAAATGATTACGATTAAAATTTGCAAGTAATTGATATAAAGAAAATTAATATAACTGAAAATAATTATAACTGGAGAAATGATCAGTTATGAATGTATGTCTTTTCTATTCTCAAACTCCAATAAACCTCTTTAATTCCAACCAATAATAATAACAGCCAAATTAGCTGAAACAAATAACCATTTACATAAGATAAAGATGTATTATAAATCCAATAAAAGTGATGAATACTTATATTCAATTGCAAGAGAATAACAGTATGTAATTTTAAATTTTTAACATAAATACATTCTAAATTATGAACATGAATTGGTATCCACTGTATACACATCGATTGGCAAAGTGATCGGTAATATAATTATGCATTTCTTCTTTTATTTCTTTCAATAAAAAAAAAACTTGAAAAGCAAGAAGTTTCACTTCCGAGTATAGAAGACTATACTGTACTAGATTTTATATATCATCAGTGCGAAGTCCACAGTGTTGTGACTTCTGGTATCTCATTCACGTGGTGCACAGCGACTCGTGAATAAGTAAACTTAGAAAAGTGTTGATCCGCGATCAGTTTATGTAAACAATAATACAAGTAAAATGTTCAAAATTTTGATTGCAGTGGGTTTGCTTTTAATTGCATATTATTTAGGGTATGTTAGTTTAATAGAAAATATTTATAATAATATATGTAGTTTCTAAAATAAGGAAAATTTAAATTTTAAACATCATTCAATATTGAAAGTTTAAGATAGAAATTAGAAAATTAGAAAGCTTGAATCGCGTCGTCTGATAAAGAAATAATTTTTATTGCAGTTTGCTGAATAAAAAAATGTGCAAGTGTTAGATTAATGAAAATAGAAGATATTGATAAAATATAGATCAATCAATTGATGAATAGATTTTCTTGATTTATGTAATCAATAATTAAGTCCTTTGATTTGAATGGAAACTATTAGTATTTACTGATTGTATTATTCTAGATATAAATATTATGGAGATCAACTTCAAATACCTCCAAGGATAGTCGAGGAAGATTGGGGCTTGCATGACAGACCGTATGCGACCACAATAAGACCGTTCAAAATAAATGTATCACAGGATGTTAGTAATAATTGTTTTTGAAAATTGAACAAACAAACAACATTCATTCCAATAATTGAATTTTGGTTTTAAAATGACAGAAAAGACTATGCTAAATCAAAAAAAATCCTTTATATTCATTCATGTTTATAAAGTGAAAATTTAAAAAATAATTTCATTAGGATGATAACTTACAACGCCTTCTTTAATACTATATAAAGAAATATTGATAAGTTTGTATTTTTAAAGGTAATTGATGATTTGAAACAACGATTGTCAAGGACACGGTATTCAGTGCCACCTCTTGAAAATACAGGATGGACGTATGGAGTGTCTAGTAAATATTTGAAAGAGATTGTCAATTACTGGAAGGATCATTACAATTGGTATGAGAGACAAGAACTGCTTAATAAGTATCCTCAGTTTATTACGACCATCCAAGGTAAAATGATCACGCATTTGTTTCAAATTTGTCATAGTCATCAACAATACTATGATTGCTGAATGAATTTATTTATAGGAATTGATATCCACTTTTATCATGTAAAGCCAAGTAAACTGCAAAATGAAGATGGGAGACAATTGAAGGTATTTCCACTATTGTTGCTCCATGGATGGCCAGGATCTGTAGTTGAATTCCAGAAAATTATTCCTCTGTTGACAACTCCACGACCTGGCAAAGACTTTGTTTTTGAAGTCATTGCCCCATCTCTACCAGGATTTGGCTTCTCTGAAGGAGCTGTACGTCCTGGTCTAGGACATACTCAGGTTCTCCAAATTATTTTTAATTCAATTCAAAATGAATATTCAAGAAACATCAACGTAAATTAATTTTTTAATTATTAATAATTAGATGGCATTAATATTCAAGAACTTGATGGATCGTTTACGTTTCAATCAGTTTTTTACCCAAGCTGGTGATTGGGGGAGTGTTATATCAACAGATATGGCAATATTATTTCCTCGTCGGTTTGTTATTTATCATAAAATTTTATCATTGTTGTGAAGTGAAATTTTATATTTTTGTAGTAATCTTAAAAATGAGTTTAATGACAGAAGCATAATCTTTTTCTAGGATATATGGCACTCATTTGAATATGTGTTCCATAAGAATCACTAAACCATCAATCTGGTTATTCTTGGGGGCATTATTTCCTTCTTTGGTAGTTGAACCTGAATATGCACCCAGAATTTACCCATTAAAATACCATTATGGAAGATTATTGGAAGAAACTGGCTACTTTCATATTCAAGCTACTAAACCGGATACTCTTGGTACATTTTTTATGAATTTCATCCAATTTATGTGTTACTCTTATTTAATTTCTGATTTGTTGCTTAGGAGCTGCATTGACAGATTCTCCTGCCGGCCTTGCAGCATGGATTCTTGAAAAATTTAGCACAGCAACACATGAAGAATTTAGATTTAGAGATGATGGTGGACTTTTAATTAAATTCACTATCGATGAGTTGTTGGACAATGTCATGATTTACTGGGTTACTAATACTATAACAACAAGTGTTAGACTTTATGCTGAAAGTTGTACATCTGAAAACTTTGGAAAATTAAACTCGTAAGTTAATATATTAATAAACTTTCATTGATCTACGTGGAGTAAATAATTTATATTTTGAAATAATGTTTATCTTACAGATTTCCAGTAAAAACATATCTCGGATGTGCAGTTTTTCCTAATGAAATAGCATACGTTCCAGAATCTATTGTAAAAACTTATTTCAAAAATCTAATTCAATATGATCACTTGCCTGCAGGAGGACATTTTGCTGCACTCGAAGAACCGAAGATACTTTCAGATAATGTGTGGTCTTTTGCTGAAAAAGTGGATAGAAGAAATCCCGATCTTTGATAGATAAACTTTAAAAATGAATGATATTTTTTTATTATTGTCATTATGTTTAAATATAAATTAGATAATATTTGAGTAATAAAAAAAAAATTACCAAAGTCTCTTTACCCATAAAAAATACCCCTGCAAAAGCGTATATAATCTTTTATAAAATTGTTTTACGAGCAACATAAAATTCGTTTCGATTTATTACAACTTAGCAAAGTTTCAATTTTTTATACTTGAGATATATGTATATTATTTAAATATTTTAAATTAAAATTTTATTACATTATAAATATTTTTATATTTATATAATCCTAATCGTTTTTATGAAAATGTTTGATCAGAAAGTTCTATTTATTATTCTATTTTTCGAAATATACCATTTGATCAAAGAAGCTTACTGAATTCAAGTAACTTGATGAAAACAAATTATTAATTTTGAATTAAAGGGCTTTAATTCTTTGGAATAAAACATTATTTTAAAGTTTCTTATATTCTTCGGTTTTTTTAAAAATTCTTGAACAAACTTGTCTTTGAAATTTTAGGTAGATGAAAAATAAAAAATACGGTAAGGATGTTTTAAATTAAATCTTTATTAAATAAATATTAAACACACCACACATATTCATTATATGTTAAATATGACTTTTGCACTTTTTAAACAGTAGAAATTTTTTAGATTTCTGAATAATGGAAAATTATAATAAACGCACATCAACACGATGAAACGAAAATAAGTAGTTTATAAAACGTTCATTATTGAAACAATAAATGTTATAGACTTGCAAACTTATATAATAATGTTTTAAATATAAAGTTTTTTTTTTTAAACACGATATAAAAAATGATAACAAAATAAATTATTTCTGAATAGGTAACAATGTTTACGTTATAAAAATAATTAATGTTTTCAAGTAGTAGAAAGATAATATTGAAAATTCAATAACACAATAAATTTCAAGAAAATTTATTCCATAAAACTTGTAATATTAAATAAGTAAATACTTAATTAGTTAATTCTTAGATTAATCTAAGTTTTATAATAATATAGTAAATAAGACTATTTTTTTGATGGCTTCATCGCTCTAATAAACATCTTTATTTCTTTGAGTCCCAAATAACCAAACACTGTCTCGATACAATTATCAGACATTCGCTGACAGATATTTAAACCAAAATATTTTTTAGCTGAATCTAAAAACCGATATCGCAATTTTGCATCACGGAATCGACTTCTGATAACATCCATATACAAAGGAAATTTTTCATTATAAACTTGTAATTCTAAAGTTTGTTTAATTTTTTTATTCTTAACGAATTTACTTAAATAGTTAATATTTTTCTTTAGTAAATCATAAAAAGTCATATTATAGACACCAATATTCTCCATTCTCATTTTCTCAATTTCCAGTTCACACTGTTCTTCAAGTTCTAGTACATTGAATTCATCTACATCATCTGGATCAGAATATTCATTATCACTGTAATCATTACAATTATTGACAATGTCCAAATTTTTCTTACTTACTTTCAATCCTGCAGTCTCTAACTTTATTATATGTAGTTTTAGAATTCGTATTATTGCTTTATATTCATTTATATCATTTATGTAGCCATCAGTATCGTAACCATTTTCATTAGAATTCTCCGAAGAATATTGATGATACCAATAATCACTTTGACGTTCTTGATAATCTTCCAATCGACTTTGATGATCAGATTTGTAATATAATGCATTCTCGAGAAGCGTTTCACGGTTCTCATCCAAGATATTAACGTTAGCACCATATTTAATTAGATTTTTAATCACATCAATAGATCCTCTCATTACAGCAATATGGAGAGGAGTTTTGCCTTGGCAGTTAACAGCATTAAAATTAACTTGCGTACGAGCAAGACTATGAATAAGTTCTGCATTACTATTCTGAACAACCAGATGAATGATTGAATTCTTCCATTCGTCTATGCAATGAACATTAACTTTATGTTCTAAAAGTATTTTGACAACTTCAGAATTATTTCGACAATGTTGTGCAGCAATGTAAAGAGGAGTTTTTTTTTGTAAGTCAGTACGATTGGCATTAGCATTGTTATCCAAAAGACATTTAACTGCAAGATAATTGACTGCATGACAAGCTACAAAAAGAGGAGTCCAGCCTCTTGCATCCTCAGCTTCAATATTTGCCTTATATTGAAGCAGTAGTTGTATTATATTAACAATCATATCACTTTTATGTTTGCAAACAATATGGAGAGGGGTTTGACCATTTGTATCAGAAAAATTAATGATTTGATACAGATTTTGTCCAACTATTCCAAACCCTGATAGAATTTTAGGTGTACTTAAAACATTTATGATACAATTTACATTAGCATTGTTTTGTAAAAGAGCTTTGATGATTTCAAACTGATTACTTGATGGAGTTTTACAAGCAACCAGAAGTGGTGTAAGCATGTCATTATTTTTAAAATTAACTGGTGCATTAAGTTTTAACAGGTTTTTGATGAAATCTACATCAAACTTCTTTTCTATGGCTTTATGAAGTAGAGTATTTCCATCTGAGCTGATATATTGAATATTGACATGATAATTTAGAAATAATTCAGCAATTTTTTGATGCCCATTTGCTATAGTTTCGAAAATGAGCGTATTATTTGGAGTCCCAATGTGAATATTTGCTCCATGGTCTAAAAGTAATTTTGCAATACTATATCTGGAATCTTGTCTATTGTTACTAGAATTAATACAAAAGTGTAGAAGAGATTTTCCTTCAGAATTGATACTGGTTACATTAACACCGCATTCCAAAAATATGCGAACAATTTCTTCGCAATTATTTTTTACAGCAATACAGGTGACATTGAAAAAGTTTGGATCATCTACTATCATCGCACCATATCTCAATAGAAGTTTGGTCATCACAGGATCAGAATTTAAAACTGCAAAGTGTAAACATGTTAGTTCACGTAACAAGCCTATTTGATAAATTGGCATCGAATAATGATTCGTATGACTTTTATAATAACGTGAGAAATTTTTTATTGCTGTAATATTAGTAATGGATGGCACATTTATATGAGCATGATGCTTTAAAAGATTTTCTACGATTTCATGATATTGATAATAACAAGCAATTTGCAAAAGGCTGACTCCCGTATTTGAATTCATCATGTTTACATCTATTCCGAATTTTAAAAGTTCTTTAACAATTTTTAAGTAACCGTTTGCCACAGCTGCATAGACAAAATCTTTATCCTGACTGTTGTTTGGATTGACAGTAAAATTCCATTCCAACAATAATTCAAGGCACTTCTTATAGTTTAGACCAGATTTTATGACAAGTTCTCTGGGAATGTAGTGGTCAGATGGGTTCAAAAATTTACAATGAGGCTTGAGATATTCCATTATTTCTAGTTGTCCTCGGCAAATAGCGGCGTTCAGAGAACTTTTTAAATCGATAGATGGATTGTAACTCATCCCAACGTCAATTAAGTTCTTCACTACTGGAATATTATTTTTTTCAATAGCCATAATCAGCAATGAATTTAAATTTTGGCCTGCAAGAGCTCCTCTTTTGATAAGTAAGATTGCTGCTTGTACTTTGTTATTCTGAATTGCAACTTCTAGAGGTTTTTGACGACGATGATCTGTAATATACATGTTGGCTCCTTTATTAAGTAACATTGTTACAATCTCTAAATCGTCGAACTTAATAATTGCCCAATGAAGAGGGCTAGCACCTCTTGCATGAGGAAGATTGACATTTGCATTGTTTAGAATTAAATTAAGAGCTGTTACTTTGTCTCTCTTTTTTATCGCTTCACGAAGCTGAACATAATCACTGTTCCATCTTTGATTAAACATTTTTAATTACTACTTCACTTTTATGTAAGCTCCTAAATTTTTTTAATTAGTATAATGACTTACTGTTTATCATCGCAGTTAAGCCGCCAAAATATGTATCAAGGTTATGTTGATTCAACAGTTTTTTTTCAATCAACCAATCGACAACTAATGAAGTTTATTTTCAAATTTCATTGGTGGAACAGAGAAAATGAGAGGGAAAGCAAGAGAGATTTGATTTTGTTTATAATTTCCTATTTTCGTGAATTGTTAGTACTTAGTGAAAATTATTTATATTTTGATTCAAAAAAACATGATGACCATTTTTACACTTTTCAATCTTATTGAAGATAATTATTTTTTAATCTTGTCCAAAGGAAAATTTGAGCTAACAATTTAAAAAACACCAAACCAGATCGTTCTAAGTAGAAAATGTATAAACAATAAAAGAAAAATTAATAAATTCTAATTAATTATAGGAATAATGATGTACGAATATCGATTTTAATAAAATCAATTAATAAAGATTTTATTCTCTGATTCCAAAGTTCACAAGGTAATAAAGTTTTGATATCCTGAAACATTAAAAAACATTTAAATTGTTATAGCTATAAACGAGTATGAAACTTTCTGTTTCATCATTAATTCCAAATAACATAACCTCTTACACACATTTCAAGTTTACACCGAGGTTATAAATGAATAATTGATAGTAATTTGATTTGATTTTACTTGAATCAAAGAATATGAGAGTGAATATTATTATGTGAATCATGTTTTCATCATCAACTATAATATATAAAACAATAAATTATAAAAACAATATTCGTAAAATGGTATTGAACAGTACACAATATTCTGTTCTGAGATAATTTGTTTAATACAATGTAAATAAATTATCAATCCTTAGTATGTTCTTAAACTTCAAGTTTAGTTCAAAACAACTCTAACTTTTGTTGTTATTTATATATTATTTCGATCAAATGGAGAATACAAAATTTGTCTATTCTTTAGAATAATAATTTAGTTCAATAAATAAAGGAAACCAAGCTAACTACAACTTATAGGGATATTCCAAACACTTCTGACAACTATTTTTACATGAAACCTTAAGAACATCATCATTGAAGCTAGATTTCGAAGATGTTTCTAAGTTAATAGACAAAAAAACATCAGCAAATAAAAAATATCATATCTTACAAATTTTATCATCTGAAAATTGCAAGCAGTAATCATGATATTAACATAAGTCTATACATCTGCTATCTGCAAACTAATCATATAATGTTAAGAATTTTATGGAATTATGGAGCAACGTGTAGAGAAGTTCCACGGTTTTTAGCAACCAGTTGTATTGCTAGACAGATTAATTAATTCGTGCAACAATACAACTGATTACAAAAAGTTATGGAAGAATCCAATGAACTATTTTTGTGATGAAACTATTCAATGTTGGTAACTATAAAAACATATGTAAATTTCAAATTTTAACATTTCTATTAATTGTTATGATTTACTTGAAAATAAAAAAAATGTTCATGGTACAACGCCAATAATTTTATGGCATTATGGAGAAACGTGTAGAGAAGTTCCAAAGTTTTTAGCTGCTAGTTGTATTGGTCGACAGATTTATTTATTCGTGCAACAATACATCTAGTAGCGAAAAATTCAGGAAGAATCCAATGAACTATTTCTGTGATGATTTCATTTATTTGGCTGTAACTCGTAATCTATCATAAACTTGAGCTTCTTCGTAATGATGATTGTGATGGACATCTAATATCGAGTAATCCACAATTTCTCATCGCCGCTTGTGTTGCATGGTAGATCAATTAAATTACTATGCAACACAAGCGGCGATAGCGAATTTTGGAGGAATCGTTGATGAACTTCTCATTTTTGTTGATAGATCTCTAAATGGTCGCTGAAAACTAGAAAATACAATTACCTGTAATAATAACCAGATATCCTTGTTGATTCTAATTTTTTAATGTATAGAGTTGTAGCTTGTAATTTGTCATTAACTTGACTGCAGTTTATTTCCAATGATGATGACGATCTACTTCTAATGTAAAGCAGTGCGAATGGATGTTCCACAATTTCTCATCGCCGCTTGTGTTGCATGGTAGATCAATTAAATTACTATGCAACACAAGCGGCGGTAACAAATTGTAAAGGAATCATTTGTGTATCTCCCATTTTTGTAGATGAATCTCTAGATATTTGCTGGAAAAATCTTACCTTCCGTGATTATTTTTGATTGTATACATCGGTATTTATATCACATGAGTCTGCAAATTTGCTAAATCAAATGGAGAAACGCTCTCTCTATGACCGATATGTAAACGAAGACAAGTGCTTCTCCAAATACTTGACAAATTGCAAAGTGACATGACTATTAGGATAACTTAAATTTTGACTTCCGTACAACAATTAAATTTAAGCTGTTTGTGCGAAAAGCCGAATACCACGTCACATTGGGTGCATACAATACAATATTTTTATGACCAACAATGAAACGCGGGCGTTAGACTTTTCACTACGAAATGAAGCAGTACAGTATCTTGTAGAGACCTATGTCAGTTCTTAATTTAGCGTGATAAATTTAATTCTTTATATCTATTACAAAAGATAATGTTTTTAGAGGAAACAAGCTGAAAAAATCTATGATCGATGTTCCTGTGAGCAAAAAAAATGGATAAATTATTAATAGTTGTATTTACACTTAATGAAAAGTATGTGAAAGATTTGATTGAATATTTTCATGTGATGATTTGATGTATCTGATTTATTTTTCCACAGTTATAATGTCTTCTCAGTGGCAATCTCAAAGTTCATTACTTATCTATGACTAATAAACTCCGTGATCAGCATTGAAAAGTAAACATTAATAATATCGAAGAATTATTCAAACTATTCTAGCTTGAAGTCGTTATTTAGTATACAGAAAATTTTACCGTCACCAACAGAGAGTTAAGATTTGAAAATTTATCAGACCATTAATCTTAATTTTCTTAAGTATTGTAATTTAATTTTATATAAGAATTTTTAAACTATTCAAAGTGTTCCCAGAATTTTGTTGAATTAGTATTGCTCTATTTTCCTTTAGAGGAGTTATAAACCACTGCAAGAATGTTAAAAAATTCACCCAACCTAAACCCGATTAATGGCCGTATCAAGTGTCCTTCAAAGTTACTGTGACACAAAGGCCATGGTTCAATTAGATGCTTTAGTTACAAGACAGTTTTTCCGTAATAAAATAATTACCTAGGTTAGATTTATCTGTCAAATACACGAATGACAAACTGCGTTACTTGAACTTAAAAGAAATCAAAATACTTCTTGACAAATAAATTATCTGCTGGCAACTGATTGAATTTACCTGATAGCTCTGCGATTTTATACCCTTGATGGTTGAGCGATCGAAACATCTAGAAAAACATTCCCGCTTAATTCTAATGAAAGTCAATATATTTACTCATTTCCAAGAAAACACATCTAAATAATTTGTAAAATTTTATTTACACTTTTATCTACATGTACTTGTTGATTTGTACTACTCACATCTGTTTTCTTTTTCAACTATTTCAATTTTATTTTATAAGAAAAATTATTGGCTACTAATTTTCACATGATTTCTTTTTTACTATAAAGCAAAGATACTTTAGCAATTATTAAAAAAATTTAAAAGATATCTTAAAATAAAATAATATATATAAATAATAAAATAATATATATTTTATAAAATTCACAATCAAAATATTCAAATATTCGTGAATGTGCTCATTATATTTCTGAATCCTTGATTTATTCATTCATTTCTCTATTTTATTATTAAGTACGATTGTAATTAATTATTGTTATAAATCATCTTACAATAATTATTGTATCAAACTTTTATCACTTTAAGTTTACTTATATTTACATAAAGAATTCGGATGATTCTTCTTGATAATTAAAGAAAAATTACAAAATTTCTTATTATCATAAATAAAACTAAACTAAAGGAAAAAATTTCTTGTATTTAAGTAATATCAAATTTTTTTTATCAATGTATGAGCTATTTATATTATTTAATACAACTGAAAATTAATTAGCTTATAAATGAGTAAATGAAATGATAACATTTTTGTTTCTAACTGAATCTTTTATTTTCCGTAAGTATTCGACACCTTGTACTGTCAGAATTCATGGATAAAAATTAATGAATAAATTATTTATTCAAAATGATAATTAAATAATGCTAAATAAAACATTTAACTTAATTTTGTTTGCTGCAGAAACTTTTACAAAAAATCTGAAGATCCATTTGTATTTACTTTGATAAAATCTCTATTTTATACGCCTACTTCTATCTTTGTCTACTCTTCCTTTCTTTTCTTTTACTCCAAAAATTTTACCACCACACGCTTAATATTCTAGTACATTCCATGTCCTCTTTTACTTGAAATATTTATTTTAAATTATTACCTTTCATTTGAATAATATTTTTTACTGTAAAAACCTTCAATCAATTGCAAAAATAGAGTTCATCGCAATAGAGTATGAAAAAAATATGATTAATCAGTTGGTAACATCAGTATTTTAATTAATTAATTTTATAAATTATTTAGGTGTGATATCTTAATATTTTCGTAGGCTTTCTTTCTTTTGTCCCACCATATTGAATTAGACAGCTACTTTTGACGTTAGAATTAAGCGGGGATGATTTTCTAGATGTTTCGATCGTCAAGAGTATAAAATCGCGAAGCTATCAGGTAAATTTATTCAGTTGCTAACAGATAAGTCTGAGTCTATCAAGTCTCGAAAATATTTTTCGGTTACTAATACTTTGGATTTGATAGACTGAGACTGCATAATTAATTCATCAAATAGTTGTGACTCGTACACTGTCAGGACACATCGTGATTTATTTTGTATTTAAATTGATCATTGAGATCTAATGTACTCCATTTCTTCAAACGTTTAGTGAACGTAGTTTTTTATTTGGGTATTTTGAAAAGGAAGATTGAACTTGGTACTTATTTTACTATGGAAACACTCTCTTGTGATTAAAGCCTCTAATTTAACAATTATCT